ACTGTCTCAGTCACCCAGTGCTGCTGTCACAGAGACACCACAGTGCACTGTCTCAGTCATCCAGTGCTGCTGTCAGACACCACAGTGCACTGTCTCAGTCACCCAGTGCTGCTGTAACCAACACACCACAGTGTTCTGTCTTAGTGATTCAATACTGCTATCACCAACACACCACAATGTTGTTTCAGTCATCTAATGCTGCTTTGACAGATTCTACAAATTCTTATCTGTAACTATGATTGTTGTTAGGCACTGCTGAATCGAGTCTGACTCATAGAGGCCCTATGAATGACAGATCTGATCTTTGTCCTATTCTGTGCCATCTTCACACTTCCTGACACACTAGAGCCTGTTGCAGCAGTCACTATATCAGTCCACCTAGTTGAGAGTCATCTCCTGTGCTGACCCTCCTCCCTTCCCAGCATCATGTCCCTCTCCAAGAAGTAGCCTCTTCTTGAATGCCCAAAATATGAGAGTATAGCTTCACCATCCTTGCCTCCAAAGAGCATTCTAGCTGCACCATCTCCAAGAAATATTTGTTTTTTTGGTAGTCCTTGGGATGTCCAGTACTCTTCTTCAACACCGCAACTCAAAGGCATCAGTTCTTCTTCTATCATCCCTATTTGTTGTCTCACTCTCAGTTGCATAGCAAGTGATCAGAAAGACTATGGCCTGAATCAGATGCACCTTAGTCCTCAAACTGATGTCATTACTCCTCAATAGGTTGGAGATGTCCCCAACTGCAGATTTTCCCAGTGAAATGTGTTTCCTTATTTCCTGACTGCTGGTACAAAGAGTGTTAATTATAGATCCAAATAAGATGAAGTTGTTGACAGTTTCAGTCTCTTCATCCATCATTATGTTGCCTATCAGTCAAGTGATAAGAATCTTTGTTTTCTTGACACTGAGATGCAATCCATATTGAAGGCTGCATTCCTTGATCTTGTCTTGATCTTATGCTTTGTCAGTGTCCAGCAGAGGATATCCCCCACCTTAATTCCTTTTATAAGCTGGGAAGTCCAGTTTTGGGTCACTATGCTTGGAATCCTTGAAGATCAAAGATGACAAACGTGACTGTGGATTGCATCTCAACATCAAGAAAAGAAAGATCTTCACCGTTGATAGGCAACATCAAAATAGGTGAAGAAAAGATTGAAGTTAACAATGATTTTGTTTTACCTGGATCCATAACCAATACCCCTGGTACCAGCAGTCAAGAAATCAAAAGATGTGTTGCACTGGGGCATCTGCTGACACGAACCTCTCCAAAGTGCTGAGAGCAGGGATAACAGTTTAAAGGTAAAGCGTACCTGATGCAGGCCATGGTCTTCTCAATTACTTCCATGCATCTGAAAGTTGGACATTGAATAAGAGTTGAAGCCTTTAATTTGTGATGTTGGAGCACTGAATGTCCTGTGGAATGTGAACTCCCCCCCCCAAAAAAAACAAACAAACCTAAAACAACAACAACAAAAAATAACCCAAACAAAAAAATAAACCCCAGACATATTTGTCTTGGAGGAAGTGCAACCAGATTGTTCCTTATAGGCAAGGATAGCTTCATCTTGTGTACTTTGGATGTGTTTTCAAGAGGAACTGGGAAATGTGGAAGCTCAGAGAAAGAGAGGAAGACCTCAGGGGGTGAACTGACACAGTGACTCTAACAGTGACCGAGACATGCAGAGATGGTGGTGCCGGTGCAGGGAAGCAGCTTGTTCACAGTCACTGTGCGTGGCAGTCAACTGGAGAAGAGAAGGTGTCTCTTTCTGCCAGCGCTCAGGGGAAGGGCCTCTGTTCCTCTCAGGGAAAGCCTGCTGTTCTGCTC